GGTTGGGGACCGCTGACTTATATGAATGATGAACTACACAGCGCTACAGTTGAATGTGTCGCACATACTTGGCATGGTGGGCGATCTCCTCCATGTGACTGACTGAAAGCATGCATGTGTGATTATGGCATGTTTGTGTTTCGCTGTTGTTCTCGTAGTGAGGCAGTTATAAAGACGTATTCAGGTATAAATACAATACATATATATTTGTATTCAGAGACTCCAAACGATTTTACTGTCATGTTTTGTCAGAGTTACTATTTTATGACTCCTTAAAGGGAAATTATGGACAGCAGGGGAACACAGTTACACAGATAATCAATAATAATTGTCTAGTATTGGCTATCACACAATAGCTGTATCATGGCACTGTGATAATCATAGCCAGCATTTATTGATGCTTGGCTTGTCACCTTGATATTTTGTTGCCACCAACACAAACAGTTGTGTGTACTGGGTGTGTTTTATCGAGTCTTCTGGAGGTAAGGCCTGATTTAGACTCGGATAATCTTTGTAGAGCCTGCGACGTAACCTTCACGAGTGGCCGCCGTCGTTGCCAGCATTTATGCTTGTGCTGGTGCATCGTGTGTTTATTACCTCGTGGTCGTGTCCCTGTGTTTTATATGCGGTGTCAGCTGGTAGAAACAAATAAGAGGCTGGTACTTCTGCCCTCCTGGGTCCTGGTTCTTTGTCTTGGTCAGGTTTTTTTTGCCGGGACAAACACATTTTCCCATTCTTTGTACAATCCCTCATGTCCGCTCCACTTGTTTCATTCATCTCCCTCCAGGAGCTTCCTTATGAACTTTCAAGTCCGTATGTTGATGCTGTGATTTTTATTCCTTATATTGAGATAAATATTGTTGTTATTTCACTGATTTAAAAAAACCAACTGCAGCTTAAAAGCGTCCTGAAATGCACAGGAGGAATTGAGGGTACTGAACATCCAATAGTTAGCTAGAATAGTGTCAGGCTGCTCATATTTAGCTGGCATGTTTCTAAGTTTGACTGTTGATTAGTTCAATGCTGGCAGAGCTGGGTCAGCTGTCTGTTTTATTCAAGACTTGTTGAGTGTTCCTCCTGCTTATAATGCCTCTGGTTTTATCTTCACCCAACACTGCAACATTCACCGAGTCGCTGTTGTCAGCATCTCTTCTTGTCGGTCATCAAACGGTAATAATAGATTAAAGCTTGAGTTGATAAATTAGCAAGGAAAAGTGTGCAGCAGTCGGATGCAGGCAAAGGATAAAAGTATTGATTCCGCTGGTATCATCGGGCTCCGCTGCCTCTCTGCAGCAGAGATTATTAAGTTCATCATATTTTCCAGCAGATCTGGGAGTTACGCTAAGAGTTGCTAATTGGGAGGTGTGTAAGCAGGCCCCCTATTCTCATATCTGTGCCTGAGGTGTGAGGTAAAATGCCTAATAAAGACCACAAAGTGCATCATTGGGGAAATCTGCCAGCTGTTTTTAATCCATTCAGTGTATCATAATTACTTAGAAATCTCACAGTATCGCTGTTTCTATTCATTTTTAGAGCCAGTTAAGAAACCATGAAAGAGAGCACCACAGCTTCAGCAGTGACGTGGAAATGCTCACACCAGTCGCTGAGACGGCGGCCGCAATGGAGGAAACGGAGCGGGTCACAGATGAAGGTAAGACGTGGTTTATGTTTTTATGGCACCATTAATTGTTACGATATTTGGCTGACGGCTCGGTGTTGTTCTCAACAAGTTGTAAAGGTGTGTTTACGTTGCCTTCTCTTACAGAAGGTAGTCCACAGAAGATGTTTAAGTGCGACGTGTGCAACTACACCAGCTCTACCTACGTCGGGGTGAGGAACCACCGGCGCATTCATAACTCTGACAAACCTTATCGGTGAGTTGTGAAAGAAAACCCGCGCCATCTGCTCATTTCACCTCCCACTAGCCAAGTTTTAGCAGTTTTTAAATTGCACTTTGTCTACAAAAGGAAGTTAATCATTGTGGTAAGAACCAACCTTTTATGTAATGTTAGTAACAGTAAAATTAGTGGCCTTGTGTTAACACCCGCTAATCTAACACCCACAGTCTTTGTGGTGCTTCGGCCGGTCGTGCATTTTACTTTCTTTGTCGCCTGATTGCCAAGATTTGAGTTTGTTTGTTTGTTTTTAAAGAAAGGAACAAAAAATGCCCCGCCTCTTGCCCCATGACACCTGAGGTAACTCCAGGGACGGAGGGATGGATACAAATGAATAAATGGGATATGCGTATAGATGAATACATGCATATTGTGTTAGTTTAGCGTTACCATTGATGAGCACTTGGATTGCTGAGGGTTATTTTAACCCTTTAAAACCGGTCGGAGCGGGCACGCTCTGTTTTGCGTAACAATTTTTAAATCGCGGTAGCTCTGCAACCACATAAGCTAGCGCAATAATTTTTTTTGCATATGAAACCGGAGGAGTTGTACTTACATCTTATGCTTGTCCTAGGTCACAGTTTCCTTCCACATATAGCTTTGCAAAAACTGCATAAAAAGCGCTTGCAGCAACAAAAACATGGCTTTGCCGATCCGATCAGCTGTTTGTAACACTTCCTACGTTGGAATAGACGTCAGAGCGAACTTTCACATGCCCGCCATCACCTGCCCGAAACCGGAAGTGACGTCATTTTTGCGGAAATGTAGTTTTTTACCATCAGGGCCTCATGAGCCTATACTGGTGTTTTTAAAAGTTATCTTTGACTTTATGACTTTGTGTCGTTTCTGGGATGCTTAGGACTCATATTGCACTGCTGGAAATAGTTTATTTTGATGCATATGCTGCTTTTTTGCAAATTTGCAGTATAATATTTATTTTCGTTTTTCCTGCAGTATATAAAAATTGGTGTATTTCAAAAACAAAACTATGAAGACACTCAAAATAAATTTCCTGTGGTGGGAAACTATTTTGTGCAACTTTTTTGTATTTACAGTTTTGAGGGATAAGCCTCTTAAATTTCTCTAACTAGAAATATATGTTAAAAAAACAAAAACGATTTTCAATTTGTTTGTAGTTTATTGCACTTTTTTGCAATTTATGTAATTACTATGCACTTAATGCAGACATATTATTAAAATTTGGGCTATAATGGTTGTATTGATGTATAGCAACTTGAAATGCTCCCAAAAATGGCTCCACAGCATGTAAAAATATAATGTAAGCTCTGGCGGACTTGGTTCTATGGTAGGTCTTAAAGGGTTAAAGGACCTAAAAGGTCTTTTGCACAGTCACTAACTACAGCGAGCTGGGAGCAGCTTCGTTATGATGCACTCTGTGCAGCACTTAATGTTACTGGGAACATTTAAAAAGATTATTTTCATAGAATTTCACCTTTTTTACTAAATGTTGAACTAAAGATAGAAGAAAAATATGTGTGACTGGCTGTTGTAAGGGTGAAACGGTACACTGTACATATTTCACTCGAACAATACAGTTTGTCTACATGACTAATGATCGTGGCCGTTCAGACAGCACGGCTACCAGCATTAATGCTGAGGTCTTATGTGTATGAAGATTGTAGATTTGAAGGGTTTTCTCAGCAAATCACTACAGATTCTCCAATTTCCCCAGAAATGTTACATTTCTATGGAAATTGGACCCGCTGGGTGTGAAAAAACAAATCAGAACGTCAGCCACGTCGTCGGCAGTGAATTTGAAACAGACAGTCTTGGGAAATATCTGCGAGTGATTGATGATAACAACAAATCGTTACTAAAGGGTAAAATGGTGAATCAACAGCTGCAAACGGCCCGCAGAGCTGAATGATCGCTTTTCTGTTATCTGTTTGAGGTTTCCTGCAGTGTGACACATTGTTTAAGTGGTAAAACACATAGTTGCCTTTTTTCCCCCTTTGGTTTTTGACAGTGATCTGTCTGTGAGTGTATTTAATGATATTTTTGTGTATGCAGAGCTAGAGAAGGATCAGAGCAGCTTCTTCAGAATGACCTTGAACTTGATCATTTTTAGTTTTACAAAATATTGATTGTAAAGGTTCCTGTTCATGTTAGTCTGCGCAAACTGAACTTTGAGCGAGCTGTTGCACAACCCCAAGTCTAACAGCAGAACATGTATGAGAATGAGTGATAGCGAGTGAGAAAAAGATAGTAAATAAGTTATAAAGCGATATGGAACAATACCACACCCTTTCCAAACGTCATAAAGTTCCAACAGCGGCTTTTGGTCCTGCCTTTGTTTCATACGTGTCCTGTTTGAAATTCAGGCTCCAGTAAGATCTTGCTCATAACGTCATGCAAGCATTAATGCAAGAAAAAACCAACAGACCTTCCAATATCTCCACTGTTTATCTGAATGTATCTGTCTGCAAATGTCTTTCAAAGCTTTCAGAATCATAGTTTAACAGTTTCTGATGCATAGAGTGCAAACAAAAAAATAGCATAAGATTGTTGCTCCCAATTCTCATCTTAGCTTCCCAGGGGTGTGACCCATTCCCAGTGAAATGTAGCCCCTTAGTGATGCCTGCGATGCCTTTAGCCTGTGGCGGTAACGCTGGGTGAAATGTGATTGATGGTTTCTTGTAAACCTAGAGGAGTTTTTATTAGATGTTTAATCATTTATGAGCGCAGTGAAGTGAGTATTCATTTGAAACATTACTAAGCTACAATGATTCAAAGAACGCGCACAGTTTGACATTTTCAGCTTAAAAATTAATAGAAAATAAGCAAAGTTGGATACATTTATTCTGTTTCCTGTTTCAGACTTAAGCCTTGCTTCATTGCGTGTGTGCAGATGAATACGTATAAGATTATTAAGATAAACATGATATACACAAAAATCTCAAGTCAACAGGATTCTTTTAAAAAAAATATAAGGATTAATTATTAAAATAAAAATTGTTAAAATAAGTAGCAAGTGCTAAAATGTTTGAGTAGTTGAAGACATTTCCATCTGTCAGTGGAAGCTGAACATTTGATCGTGTGAGGAAGGTTTTTCTGGATTTTTGGAGCAACGGCACGATCTTCTTTATTAACCTCCACTGACCTCGTGGGACAGAAACATTAAAGTCAAGCAGTACATTAGGGCAGAGAAACTGAGAACACATAAGTCTGTGGATCCTAAAATAATTTTTGGATTTAACAGGAAGCTAGCACCAGTGTAATGCTTTCTGTTGTTCTCACAGTTCAGCGCCAGATGATAAGTGTTTGTAGAGATTAATGTAGTGATGGAAAAAAGAGTGGAAACAGCAAAACTTCACCAACTGTGAAAGCCGATCAAATCTGAATGCTGTCGTCTTAGCTGAAGATGCATCCCTCGACCAGAGAACAGCAAACAGTTTATCAGGCTGTTTGATTTTCACAGTCAGATTCTGCTTTTCTCCAGGAGAATTCAAGCAGTAAATTATCAAATTATCTTATAAAAGTGCCCATATTTCATACATTATTGAAAAAAAATGTGTAAAACATGTTTTATGCCTGTTTTATACTTTAGTGGTGGTAGCGCGAAGGCAGCCTGCAGGCAGTAGTGTTTTCAGTCGTTTTCACAGAGTTGTGCGTCCACATTGAAACGGCCAAAAAACACTTACGTTCCAGTCCTGCACATGCGTGAAACGCAAGAGGATACGACCTGCCTCACTTCTGTCTGCCGTTTGTTTAGTTTCAGGCTCTTTGAAACGTCGCAGCAGAATGTTAAAAGCACCGAGTTTTTTCAGTGGACTCACAATGAGGTGGAGCTGTTGCTGCGAGTAACACAAAAGTACAAAGTCGCAAAAGCGAGTGAGAATTAAAGAATTTGAAGAAAAGCTCTCTGGAGCACGTACAGACTGATATTAATCTTTAATAGTCAAAATTGAGGGCAAACAAAACAACTGCTGTATAATGCCCTCTGCTGTCTTAGTTTAATTGGTTACATGACTAAAATGTGTCATCGTTTTTGAAAAGGCTGCGGGTTCGCTGTCCACACTGCTCCATGAAAGCACCGTTTTCCTTGAGCCAAAACGCCGTCTCAGTGTGGACGGGAGGCCAAAACGGAGAGAAAACGATTAGTGTGGACGTAACCTTAGTGGCTTTTTCCCCTCAGGGTCAAATAGTTTGTCTCTGAGTAAAGCAAAACACATTTTCTGTGTTTCACGTAGGTGTCCACATCATGGTAGTGTAAGGAGCTTGGACAGAAAGTTTGGTGAAGACATTCACCTCTCATCCAATTAGCTTCTTCAGCTCTAAAATCAGGTATTTAAACCCCAGTGGAGGTTGTCCCTTAAGAGGATCATTGACCTACTATTAATCATGAGCCTCACATGGTGTGAAAAAAGGCTTGGGTCAATACCATCAGAGGTTTTGGGTGGAACTACTGTGAGACCTTGCCTCGCCCTATCATGTGACTTATTGTAGTAACCAGAAGCAAGATGTGAGTGGGCGTTGAGGTGCCTTGGAAGGTTTCTAAAAGCTGCATTGTTGACTCTAGGCGTCATAAGCCACGCCCTCTGTTCAGTGAGGATCCTTCGTAGTGGTGTGAAACTGAAAACC